CGCGGCTCGGGGGCAGGCCCGTAGACAGTGCGTCGCGGAGTGGAGGGCTCATTGCCCCAGTCGATGGTGTCCCAAGGTTCACTCCCTGGCTGGATGTCAGGTGGGGGTAGTGCGGGTGCAGCGTGGCGCGGAGGGCGACCAAGAGGAACAACTGGAGGTTCTGCCTCGATTTCCTCTTCTTCCCCCTTTGGTCCTCGCGGGAAGCTCCCCAGCCTTCGCCGGAAGTGCCCCATCTGCTTATCTCGCCGCCAGATGCGGCGCCCCATCCGCCGGTGTTGCTGCCAGTTGCTGCTCCCCATCCGCCAGTGTTGCCGCCAGTTGCTGCTCCCCATCCGCCAGTGTCACTCGTGCCCCATCCGCCAGCGCTTCCCCACCCCCCTTCATTGGAGGCGCTCTCTTCTTCTTCCCATCCGCTCCAGGCGAATGTGCCGCGTGACTCCGCAAGACTCCGTTGGCGAAGCTCTTCCGCTTCGCGACGCGCCAGTTCCTCTTCTTGCACCACGGTAAGCTTCTTCGTAGAGTCGCGCTGGTGAGAGTAGATTTCCAAGAATTTCTCCTTTGTGTAGGGTCGCGGGACTCTGTGCGCATCGAAGGTGTCGGCGCCTTTGCCGCGTAGCATGCCCCGAAGATGTTGCGGTGCAGGTCCGGGGAGGGGATTTTCCTCCGTTCCGAAGACGACGCGCGTGGCGGTTTCAAGCTCTAGGTTGGACAGTCCTTCTTCAGGCGGTGCTTCCCGCTCTGTTTCGGCGATGGCGGCAAGGCCACGGCCGGCAATCGCGCTCGTTGAGGCTGTGGGCGTATGGCAATCTCTGCAGATACCATCGGGGTCGGGGTCGTGCAGCGCCAGCTCGCGCGGGTGAGCGTGATGCGGCACCCACGGTCTTCCGTCTGGATGTTTCCAGTCACGGTGGTGAATGTGTTCGAAGCGCAGGGGGACGAGGTCGATGAGCTCCTGCGAATCACTGCTGCAGTCGGGAATGCTGAAGTCGAGGATGTAAACGCCGTTTTCGGAGTGCGCTCGCCCGATTTGCTTGCGTGTCTTGTTCGGCATCGTGTTGTGGAGCAGGATGTCGCGTGTCTCGGGATCGGTGCTGAGGTCGACTCCGCAATCCATGAGTTGCGCCGCGGAGAGAAGATTGAAGCGCAAATTCTGCACGATCAGAACGTCATTCAGCGTGATGTGCGTCCTGCTCCCTCTAGCCTTGAGGACCACGATCCCTTGCGCGCTTGCGCGCAGTCGTGTGTTGTTCGCCACTGTGACATAGGTTACGGCGGGGGTGGAGACGGCGTTGGATATGTAACGCTCAGAGACCACCATATGCTGCCCACAGCAGCTATCCAGGTACCACGTGTTGTAGCGCCTGTTGTCGTTATGGGCGAGCAGCGCCAGTCGCGGGGTAACGATGTGCGGTGTGTCAACTTCAGAAAGTGTTCGCGCGAGATCCAATCGATCGGAGCCGCCCGCTTATCAGGTACATGCGGGGGACTCTCAAGCAGCGGGACTGGGAGATTCCAGTCCTGTTTGTCGTCGTCGCTGAAGTCGTGGCGCGTGCTGAACGGATTGTTGTTCGAGAACGCTCCGATTGGGTGGCGTGCTGGCTCAGGTGACGGTGAGCGTGCGCGGGGACGACGGGATCCACTCATCATTGTCATGTTGCCCATGACGGATCCACTCATCACGACTCGTTGTAGTACTGCGCCCGGGCGTCGGCAGTATACTCAGCGGGTCCCGAGTAGCTCCCGTCGAAGTAGTGAAATATCTGCGCGTTTTGCAACAGCAGTTCCAGCTCGAAGCTCCACGTATAGAAGTCTCTGCCGTCAAAACACACACTTGTCTTTATTTTTTATATGCTCAAAAACCTTGATTGCGCAGAGAGAATTGCTTCTTCGCTGGGACGGGGAATCTTGGGCGTTGAGCCATTTGTGTCGAGGGAGAAGGTGTGCGGGGCGGTATTGTGGCCGTTCGAGGCCGGTTGAGTAGGTTGGGAAGATGTTCCCGCGTCGCCATTCCGCAATGTTTGGAGTTGTTGCTCCAGGCTGGTGAGTCGCTGAAGCATCTGTGCGAGGGCGGCGGTTCCAATCGTCGTCAGATTCGTCTGACCACCAGATCCTCCGGCCATTCTCACACGCGAGCGTGTACTTGACGCCACTTTCCGTTCGCCGAAGATTTCGGAGGTGGCTGTGCGAGCGATTCCCGAGTCGCTCTCATACCATGCTGCGATCAGATGTTGATCGTCCCTAGGATCACCTCAGGAAGGTTCGCACACGTCTGAGTAGTGGTGGTGGGCCCTTGACCTCAATAGCAGAGTGGATGGAAAATGTTTGAGATAATAAAAACATGCAAGTACAATAATATAAATAAGAGTACAAGGGAATTTGAATCGGCCTAGGCTAGCCATGTACTCTAAGGGGTACATTCCCTTATTGCAGCGAAAGTCAACCGTGCGACTCCAGACGGTTACGAACTGCCTAGGCAGAATCCTTGCCACTGCTGCTGCCTGATGCTGTCTGCCCGACGGTCCAGATCCTTTCGTAACCGTACGACCCTTCGCGTCACTTCCGTCTTTTCGTCTTCAGCCTCGGTAGTGCGTGCTGCGGTAAGGAGTGCACAGTAATGCTTCATCTTTTACTATTCGTAACAACAACTTGTGACATTTTTCTGATGACAACTTAGATATGCTGGAAATCATTCTAAGCATGCCTTGAAACTTGTGTAAGCAGGCCGAGTCACGGAATTTCTATGAAGCAGAGTGGGCATATGCATGTTCTCATTGTTACGTTAGACGATATCGAGCTAAAAGTTTTTAGGTAGGAATGAAGGCAGAGACTTATGGCGTGTACTTACAGGGTGAGGTTCAGGATTCCAAACTCTCGAATATCTGATTGCGCTCCGCAATCCCTGAGTTTGGGGTACCCCTAGATCTAGGTTTGGTCGTTTCGGGCACCGAACCGATTTTTGAAGGGTTGTGTACTGTGCAGCTTCCTTCCCTGTTTCCTGAGAGCAGCTAAAGCAGGATTTCGGAACTGATAACCGTTTCATATAGATCCTTCTATAGATCACATATCCTTTGCGGTGAAGATCTCCTCAAAATCGACGGCCTTCGTGATGTTTTGGAATATCTTGCTCATCATGACAGTCCGCGCGTGAATTACTAATGATGAATAGATCCTTCCACAAATCTTCATTGGTGGATTTGTTTTTGTGCTGGATCTCGTCAGTTTATCGCTTTTCGTGGTGTGCAAAAACTCTGTGCATAAACAAAATCACCCAGCAAACAAAGGTTTTCAGTACTTTTTATATACGGAGTCTGCTTGTTTTCAATTATCAGTTTGTAAAATTACTGTTATTTTCATACCGAAATGAAGCATAGATCGACCGTGTTTAAAATGGCTGAACCCACTCAAGAGTTCCAATTCTGGGCCTACACGTACGTGGTTTGTCCTTTATTTTTTTCATTGACCATGTCCCTAAACGCTTAAGAATCGACGGAATCCTGAACAGCAGGTGCAAAATACGAGTGAGCGCACCTCACCGCCAGCCATCGCTTCTGGTGGTGTAACCAAGATTATGCTTTGCGGTTCACGCATCAACCTCGCCCGTGCAGCAGCATCGGGTGGCGCAAGGACCAGAATCTAGGGCTAGCTCCATTGCCATCCATCGTGGAGAAATGACAGGGTGGGGACCTGGGGTGTTTGGGCTGCATGCCGGTTTGTTGGGCAAAGTGAGGCTCTGATGAGCTCTCAAGTTCGAAATTTTCAGCAGTAATTGTACACAGGAAAGACCCACTATGGGGTAAATATTATAATTAACATACATAAAAACGTTTCTGTTACTTCCTACGGTTATTTCTCCTGGGAGAACAATTACTCTGTAAAATATACATGTGAGTACGTTATGCTAAATATCTCGAAGAATTTAATTGCATATGCATTCGACTATCACTAGCTCAGATAAGTAGAAATTACTGGAGGTGAGTGGCGATGGAGGTATTGCTCTGGGGAAGTTCGATTCTATTTTTTGTGCTGAACTTCGAAATGCTGAAAATGAAAAAAGGGGATGCGTTGGGTGTGAGTCACCAGCTGTCAGCGACTCAGGCAAGGGATCCCTCCAATTCCAAGAGGGCAACATTGCTTCACTTCATCCTGCGCTAATCAGTTGCACTGTGAACTTCAGTGAAACCCTCACCGTGCTGGATCCTAGTCTCTTTGTCACAGAGCAGTCACTAGACCAGACTCACGTGATGCCTTATCTCGCCGCACAAACTTCGTCACAGGCAGCTCAACTGGGAAATCTAGATAGAAGTTCCTCAAAAATAGCTTTCTTTCTTTCCGAAATGCGCGATCAGTATGAACATGCAAGGCAAGTTCCTCGTCCTCAGCCTCAACTAGAGCTTGAGCTCAGTCTCGCTCCCAATCCATCCTTGGGCGCCAGGGCCCATGCCGATCACTCAGAAATTCCGCCGCATGACCGTCATCATGGAGGCGATGATCAAGTGCGAGTGGGAGGAGAAATCGCCGAGTTTCCTTCACGACATTCGCCACCGATTCGTTGTCTTGAAGAACACCGCGTACATGGCCCTGCAACCGAACTCCAACTCCGTCAGGAAACGCATGAGCCTCAGTATCGCCGTGAAGCAGGCGTCAGATCCAGTCAAGGAGCTGTCAATTTTCAACTTGAAGCAGATCTACTGATTTCTGGATCCAGCGTTCCAACGACACACCTGGTTGAAAGAAACGCCATCGAATCCAGAGATATTTGGTATCGGCCACCCAACCCGCAAGATCTCAACAACCCATCTACCACAGGTCTCTGGAGCCACCTCTCTGGCGCTGCAGCGACGGGAGGAGTCCGCCTGGCCCCGGAACGTCCGCCTTTTCAGCATGAATCTTCGCTTTACCGCCTTGGAGACTCCCAAACTACCAGCACCGGTCGTGCCACAGCTGGAAGAGAAACGCAGGCGCATTCAACCTTCCAGACGGCGGCAGCATGCGATCCAGCGATGGTGGCTCGAGGCCTGCCTGCGCTACACCGGGAGGCGGCAGGCGAGGAGGCACGCAGCAGAGAGTCCATGATCGCTGTCGTCATGGCTGCTGTGGCTGCAGCGGCGGCTGCATCGAGTGCCAGCGGCTCCAACGCCGCAGAAGCTGTTGCTGCCGGTGCAGCTGCCGGCTTTGCAGCAGCGAACGCAGTAGATGCAGGATTCTCACAAGGAAGGCGTCTTCTGAGCGCACAGGAGTACGGCGCAGTGATGGGAAACGCCACAGTCATCCCGGCGTCGCTCTCGCGTGTTCCATCCACCCAGCTCAACCCTTCATTTGCCTCTGCTCCGGCTGCAGCATCCCCAGCACCTGCAGCTCCTGCATCAGCCTCTGCGTTGTCTGCGGCGCTGTCTGGACAGGCGTTGATGGGAGTGCAGCGCGCCATGGTGCTGGCTGCTGCTGCTGCCGCCATTTCCGGCCACCACGGGGTTGTTCCACGCAGCGTGGCTGTCGATTCAGCAGCATCCGGGGCAGCAGCTGTTCAACCTACAGCCTCCCAGCCTGCCTCCTCGCTCGCAATATCCTCCGCCACCACCGCTGCTCTAAGCGCCGGTGCTGCCAGGACAGTCACCGCTGGGAGTGGCGGAGGCAGAGCTGCTGTGTGCGACGACGAGGGTGGCATGGCTCCTCGTGTGAGCAAGCTCTTGGCCAAGTGGTTGCGGTCGGACGACGAGGGCCCACACGTGTGCCCTGTGTGCAAGCAGAGCTTCCCCACGGCGGGAGGCCTGAAGCAGCATCAGCACGACCGCTGGCGCTGCTCCCTGGGCTCTCAGGCCATGCAGGCCTCTGCACCCGCTGCTGCTTCTGCTGCTGCTGCTGCTCCTGCTGCTGCTGCTGCTGCTGCTGCTGCTGCTGCTGCTGCTGCTGCTGCTGCTGCTGCGGCTGGGCCAAGCCATGTGGCGTCAGGAGGTGCTGGAGCTTCTGCTGCTGCCGGTCGCAGTGGGCGCTCGGGTGTGAGTACAAATGCTGGGGATGGGAGTAGAAACATTGGGAGGAGGGAGAGTGACAAAAAGGGTAGTGGAAAGGGTGGTGAAGGAAAGGACATCAGCACGACTGTGAGAGACAGTACAGGCATGTTGTGGCCTCGGCTGTCCGTGCTTGATTCAGCGGCGAGTGGTGGGGAGGCCGTGGGAAAGGACATGTCGCGGAAGGCCAAGAGCAGGGGAAAAGGAGCTTCTGAAGTTGTAGGGCTTAGGAGCCTGGAGAGAAAAGGCCAAGCGTCGGGAAGCAAGCGGCCGCAGAGTGAGATTCTCTCGGGCGGTTCATTCATGGAGCACCCAGCAAGGCAGTCAGTTGGGCAGCAGAGCGAGAAGCAGCAGATGGAGAGAACTTCAGCAAGTGCAACCCCCTTTACACGGCAGGCCAGCATCACCAACACATCTCCCCCTCATCGATCCTCCCTCAGTGCCCCCTCCCCTGCCTCTCCTTCCCTCGCCTACTCCTTCTCTCTGCCTTCCCATCGCTCGTCCGTGACAGCCGGATTGCAGGGTGCGGAAGGTGGCCAGCGAGGGTTGAGAGTGCACGGGCAGCAGCACTTCACTGAAACAAATCCCATGGCAGGTGAAAAGTTGCTGAGCCCTCCAAAGCGTTTTCGGTCAGGGAACGGAAGAGGAGAAGATACAGGGGAAAATGTTAACATGTCTGATCGAAACAGAATGCGAGGCGGTGGTAAGGAGTTTCATCAATCGAGGGACTTAGACTTGGTGAAGCATGGTGTGCGGGTTGAGGACGGGGAGAAAGACGGTATGGCGTACGATGGCATGGCGGTTGACGAGTTGGTGCATGGTGGTGCTGCAGCATCAGCAGACACGGCGTCAGCAGGAGTGGCGGATGTGACTGCTATGGCTGGGTGGCTGAGAGCAGCGCACGTGCGCAGAGGAGAGCAGTGGGGACCTTCGCCCTCCGCCTTCCCTACTGCCGGCGGTCTTCACGGTGGGCTTGGGGTGCCGGCCAGGGCTGCAGGAGGGATGGAGGATAGGCGAGGAGGTGGAGGGGAGGACAGGGTGTGCAGGGGAGAGGAGGCAGCGGTGTATGCTGTGGACACGCAGCGGTGGCACAAGACTCAGCGCTCCCGCGTGGAAATCCTTGATCGCAACCTGCCGCCCTGGCAGGCATCTGACTTGTCTCTCGCCGGCTCTCTTCCAGCTCAGGCAGAGAGAGGATTTGGTGCGACTGCAGCAGGCGAGCACGGGTCTCGTGCCGATGACTCTTCCACCAGAGCGACCTTCTCCCTGGCTGCCACTGCTGCTGCTGGTGGTGCTGGTGGGAGTCATGGTGCGAGTGAGAGGGCAGAGCTAGGGCTGTCCTTTGACCTCAACATGGCGCATGGGGGAGACGAGGATGACGAGAACACGCGTGGCAGCGACAAGCAACAGCCTCCAGCAGTGGGAGGAGCCACAGGTGTGGTGCGTGCTCAAGAGCCCAAGCCGAACATCTGGAGCAGGGCGGGAGCATCAGGAGCTACTGGTGCAGGCGCAGCTGGTGCAGGCGTACCCACCATGAGCATTCCCGAATCGTGCTGCTCCTGGAACTGTGTGTTCTTCTCGCTTCCCTGCCACAGAAAGACACGGGTGCAGATGACAGGCAGCCAGGCAGGGGAACGAGGTGAGTCGCAGCAAAAGGAATCTGAGTGAGCAGAGAGGAGTTAGCCAGTCCAGGAGTTAGTCAGCCTTCAGTCTAGGTGGGCGAATCATTGAGGGAACTAGTTTTTGAGCGATGAGCTGGTCCCACAAGACCATCATGTGCGCATGTCAACCGGCAATGAGTGTGTGGACAAAGCATCATAGCGTCTGCCTATGTATATTCATTGCATTTAAGCCCGCATTGTACACCCTAGGGTGTATTGATAAATACCCGCTTCAGGGGGGTGTTTGATTTTGAGACGAGGGGGGAGGAGGAGGGGGGGGGGAGGGGGGGGGGGGGGGGGGGGGGGGGGTGTGGAAGTCACAGAAATAGAGAAAAAACACAGATTCTGAATGAACTTCAGGAACACAACTGATCTGTGTGGTTTCTACCGCAAAAAGTCATACAAATCAAGCTCCATTGGCTCCTGAATTCAAGCACTGTTACCGTCATCGCCCGGATATAAGACATATATGTCTTATCTCGTACACGGGCAAAAATGCTTGGGTTGTCTTATATTTGGGACGGTTTAGGGTGTCTTATAAGTCTTATAAATGGACAAAGAACCGTTTAGAAGATACCCCTTCGTTATACAATTGCCCCTAACCCCTACACTGGCTTAACTCGTACACACAAATAGGTGTCTTATAATGAGGCTACCCCGTTTATAAGAGACACCCGGATAATAGACACCCCCTGTCTTCTATTCAACACTGTCTTATATCCGGGTGATGACGGTAGTGAAATTGATTTCATGTAGTGACCAATAGGCTGCAATGGAGACCATGTGCTGGCACGCCATCACTCCAAATCCCCACTACCCACCTTGTCACATTGTGCGAGGGGCCACGTGCTCCCTGCCAACTCTCCGGCCTGAGCTTGGTTAAAACCGAAATGCAAAATAGTGAACCCCCACCCAGCTTGAAACCATGTTGCGACGAGAGAAAGGGATCGGGCCAACATAGCACTGTACAACACAACAGAAGTGTTCAGATCGAACAAATGTGATTGGCTAGGGCCAAAAGGAACATTTTCTGGGCTCCCGCCAAAAGGAACATTCACCCATCGCATCTCTACGTGCTGGACCCTCACGACCGTTGCTTTGGTCGCTAGGCCCAACTCTGGTTTCAAGCTAGAACTGGGTTCACAACTCTGTTTAGTTCTCCAATAGTCACTACTTCAGTGCCTATCTAAGTTAGCTGAAATCTTAGTAGTTTTGTGTCCTAGGCCCAACGCGATTTGTTACGTAGTTCGAGTGTGTTATCTATCGACTTAGCTTGGGTACGCAATGTAATACGTACACCACTAGCGTAACGTTAGTATTTCCGTGGTGCGCAAATGTCAATATCCCGTCACCCTCGACTGCTCTCGCTCCTTCCTCGCCGCGTCAACCTCACGTTCTCTCACCCCGCGCAATCTTCCTCCCCCTCCCTTCCCGCCACCCTTCCTCTCTCTCGTCGCCCTTCTTCTCTCCTGTCGCCCTCCCTCTCTCCCGTCGCCCTTCCCATCTCCCATCGCCCTCCCTTCCCGTCGCCCATCTCTCCCACCGCCCTTCCCCCTTCCCGTCGCCCTTCCTCTCTCTCGTCGCCCTACTTCTCTCCCGTCGCCCTCCCTCTCTCCCGTCGCCCTTCCCATCTCCCGTCGCCCTTCTCTCCCGTCGCCCCTCTCCCCCGTCGCCCTTCTCCCCCGTCGCCCTTCCCATCTCTCGTCGCCCTTCCTCTCTCTCGTCGCCCCTCTTCTCTCCCTAGACCCTTCTCTCCCGTCGCCCCTCCTCTCTCCCGTCGCCCTTCTCTCCTATCGCCCGTGATGTACCCTCGCCCTCGCCATCTCCCTTTAGTTCTGCTCAAAGTTCTCCTCGCCCTTCCCATCTCCTTCGCTCTCTCCCCTCCCTTCCCGTCGCCCTCCCTCTCTGCTCGCCCTTCCCATCTCCTTCGCTCTCTCCCCTCCCTTCCCGTCGCCCTCCCTCACTCCTCGCCCTTCCCATCTCCTTCGCTCTCTCCCCGCCCTTCCCGTCGCCCTCCCTCACTCCTCGCCCTTCCCATCTCCTTCGCTCTCTCCCCTCCCTTCCCGTCGCCCTCCCTCTCTGCTCGCCCTTCCCATCTCCTTCGCTCTCTCCCCTCCCTTCCCGTCGCCCTCCCTCACTCCTCGCCCTTCCCATCTCCTTCGCTCTCTCCCCTCCCTTCCCGTCGCCCTCCCTCACTCCTCGCCCTTCCCATCTCCTTCGCTCTCTCCCCTCCCTTCCCGTCGCCTTCCCTCTCTCCTCGCCCTTCCCATCTCCTTCGCTCTCTCCCCTCCCTTCCCGTCGCCCTCCCTCTCTGCTCGCCCTTCCCATCTCCTTCGCTCTCTCCCCTCCCTTCCTGTCGCCCTCCCTCTCTCCTCGCCCTTCCCATCTTTTTCGCTCTCTCCCCTCCCTTCCCCGTCGCCCTCCCTCTCTCCTCGCCCTTCCCATCTCCTTCGCTCTCTCCCCTCCCTTCCCGTCGCCCTCCCTCTCTCCTCGCCCTTCCCATCTCCTTCGCTCTCTCCCCTCCCTTCCCGTCGCCATCGCTCTCTCCTCCCCCATCTCCCCTCCCATCGCCCAACTCGTCACCGTCGCGCTCGATCAGGAACGCCCTCCCCGCGCCCTTCGTGTGTCCCCTCAAATCACCCTCCTAGTCGTCCTCGCGCTTGGCCCGAAATGCTCGCCCGTCGCATTTCGTATTTCCCTTCCCATCACCCACCTCATCGCCCTCGCGCTCTCCTCGAAATGCCCTCCCGTCACCCTTCTTCTCTCCCCTCCCATCACCCATCTAGTCGCCCTTGCGCTCTACCATTCCGCGATTTTGTTAGAAGGATGTGAGAACAAGAAGTGTCGATTAGGTTGGGGAGGGGGGTACAAGTAAGAATGACGAGGTGAATTGTGTACCCCCTAAGGCTAGTCCTTATATAGCCTACATAACATAGAACACATATGTTTTGACACACCCCCATAGGCGAAATGGGGGATAGCCAGAGCAAACAATGGTCACAAGACCAGTCAAGAGAAGCAAACAAAGCAAAGCTCAGGGTGGATCTCAAAATCACCACGCATTCTGAGCACAAGCAAGCGGCCACAAGGCCAGTTCACATGCAGAGTTTATAATAGCAATTGTAGTACACTGATCACAACCTAGCGTGCAGACATGCAGGTATAATCATATATATATCAGAGTACAACAAGTGCAAGGAAAAATCAAGAGACAAGCAGGTGCGGCAGAGTGGGCACAAGCCCAAGAGCAGTACAGAAACGTAGATGATCACTAGAACAAAGGGCCTTGGTGAAGACATCAGCAGTGTTGGCCAGTGTGGCCACGTAAGCAAGACGAAGCTGACCACGCTGCTGCAGCTCTCGCGTGAGGAAGTAACGGAGAGCAATGTGCTTCGTTCTCTGCTCCAGCCTCTGGTCCTGACACAAGGCAATCATGGCCTTGTTGTCGACGTACAGAACTGGAGGAGAACGAGGCCGCTCACCCAAGTCGGTCAGCAGGTAGGTCAGCCAGCGGAGCTCCTGTGCAGCCATAGCCCCAGCATAGATCTCGGCCTCACAGCTGGAACTAAGTACAGAAGAAGAGCGAGTGGACCTCCACGAGACAGAACCAGTGCCGAGGCTGAAACTGTACCCCTGTGTCGACCGGTGAGTAGTCTGGTCGTTAGCCCAAGAAGCGTCTGAGTGTCCGGTGAGAACAACTGAACCCAGTCCTCCAAGCACGAGCCCGATGCCCGATGTACTGCACAAGTAACGCAATACCCTCTTCGCAGCTTCCCATTGCACATTTCGATGTCTAGTAGGAGCCACGTAGCGAGCCACGAGGCTGAGAGGGTACGCGAGGTCAGGTCGTGTGCACGTCATCAGGTACATGCGGCAACCCACAAGCTCTGGGTACGGACCACTCGGCTCTACGGACTCGTCCGAAGGTGGAGCTGAGAACGAGTGGCCGGTAGACAGAGGAGTGGGCTGTGGCGAGGACCACGTGAAGCCGAAGCGCTGAAGGACCTGCTGCACCATGTGTGACTGAGTGAGGGTGATGGTGCGGCGTGCTCTGTCCCGGGTGATCTGCAAGCCAAGATAGCTCCGCAGCTCACCCAGGTTAGTGCAAGTGTGTCTCTCCTGCAGCTCCGCCTTCACCAAGGCCAGAGCCTCAATGTCAGCAGTCGCAAAAACCAAGTCCTCAACGTACACGAGAACGTAGAACAGCGACACATAAGTGTTTGTGCGCAGAAACAGCGAAGGTTCAACAGTAGAGGGAGCGAAGCCAAGAGCCGCAAGTGTAGTCCTCAGTGTGTCATGCCACTCGCGGGGCGCCTGTCGTAGGTCATAGACTGGTCGCCGAAGACTCCACTGGGTACCCTCAGGAAACGACCCAGTGAAGCCACGTGGACGGCACAACCAGATAGCCTCGTGAAGGCTGCCCTGCAAGAAGGCTGTCGAGAAGTCGAGGGAGTGCAGCTCGTAGTCGCACTGTGCTGCAACGTGCAGTAGCACCCGAAGAGTGGTCATCTTCAGGGTAGGGGAGAAGGTCTGAAAGAAGTCAACCCCCTCACGCTGACTGAAGCCTCGTGCAACGTAACGCGCCTTGAAGGCAGGCGGAGAACCCGGTGGCCGCTTCACTCTGAAAATCCACATGCCATCGACTATGTTCGCCCCATGCGGGGGAACCTTGTTGACGTAGGTGCCTGTAATCTTCCTGGAAGCCATCTCTGCATCCATGGCTGTCTGCCAATGAGAGGAGTACGGACCCGTGATCGCCTCTGCGTAAGTGCGCGGGGTCGGGATGTCCAGTGCATTTGGGTCTCCCTCAGGGCAAAGTAGCGTGGACGCGAGATGAGGTGCAGCGGCCGCGAGGCACTCCAGCTCAAACTGCCTGTCCTCAAGGACGTCACAGCCAAGGGCAAGCTCACCCCCGACGGACGGAGGATAGGAAGAGTAAAAAACAAGACTCGCAGCATAGTCAAGGCGGCACAAAGCGGCAAAGTCAACAAGCTCAGCAACTAATGCAGACGCAGCAGCAGACTCAAAGGAAGGGTCAGTCACAACTGTGGCAAGGAGATGAGTGACAGTCGGACTGGCAGCATGGACAAGGTCAGACTCAGGGTCAAGAACGTGCGGAAGAGAGGACGCGGGAGGCGACGGCAGGACAACACGCTGTGGAACAGAGGAAGGACGGAGTGTCATATCGTGAGTGCCCGGTACAGCCGGAGCACGTTGACGGCGAACACGACGAACATGAGCAGGGACAAACGCAGTCAGGGACGCAGTCACCTCAGTGTGAGGAGCAGGAGTAGGCAGCGGGGAGCAAGGCAGTAGCTGTGGCTGAGAATGGTCAGTCGGTGGGAACAGTAACGGAGGAGTAGTACCAGAAACCGGGAACTCAGTAGCAGTAGGCGGGAGACTGAGATGGTGACGAAGCGCAGCCGGCTGCGGCTGAGTAGTCGCACCCCCAGAACCTCCAGCCCTAGTAGCAACAGCACCCCCCGAACCAGTACCACCAGCTCCACCACTGGGACTGCCCCAACAGACAGCCCACTTGCGAAGCTGCACCGGCGAGAGCAACTCCTGCCGACTAGCACCACTAACTCCAGTATCTCCAGTAGTACCTCCAGGAGTACCTCCAGTGTCAGCTCCGCCTCTAGTACTAGTACCTCCAGCACAACCAACTCCAGGACCACCAGTACTAGCACCTCCAGGGCCAGCACCTCCAGGACCTCCAGCAGCACCTGCGCCTCCAGTACCTCCAACAGCACCTGTGTCTCCAGTACCAGGAACACCAGCACTAGCACCTCCAGGGCCAGCACCTCCAGAACCTGCAGCTCCAGCACGTCCAGCACCACCACCAGGACTGCACGCAGCAGCACCCACAGCAGCAGCACCTCCAGCAGCACCAGGAGTCCCAGAACCTCCAGCTCTAGTAGTACGAGTACGGCTAGCTCCACCACCAGGGCTGCCCCACTGGACAGCCCACTTGCGAAGCCGCTCCGGCGAGAGGGTCTCCTGCCAACGTGCACCAGTACCACCAGTAGCAGAGCCTCCAGCTCCAGCAGTGCCAGCACCTCCAGCTCCAGTACTCCCAGCACCTCCCGCTCGAAGACGGCTAGCTCCACCACCAGGGCTGCCCCACTGGACAGCCCACTCGCGAAGCCGCTCCAGCGAGAGAGCGTCCTGCCGACTCGTACCAGGACCACCAGCACCAGTACCTCCTATACCTCCTGTACCCAGAGGACACTCAGCACCCCCAGAACCAGCACCCCCAGTGGTACCACCTCCTGCAGCACCATAGTCCACAGCGACAGGCTGCAGCGGCAGTGAAGACGGTCGAGGCGGAAACCCAGGAGGGACCGCCAAGCGCGCAGAGCGGCGAGGGGTCTCGGTGGCAGCAGGAGTCGGGTCACCCCTCTCAGCTGGGCCAGAGGTGTCAGAGGAGACCTCGACTGGCTCAACCAAGGGGGACGGGTCAACCTGAGACACACCTGAGGGAGCAGGACCGTGTGGGGGGAGTGGGGCTACCGGGGGGGGGTCGGAGACCAGTGCGAGAGGCGGGAGGGGCACGGAGGAACTGCGGTGGGGGTGGAGACGGTAGAAACAGACAGACTCGCCAAAGGTGACGCCCTGGGAGGAGAGAACACGACGGGAATCCGGGTGGTAGAACTGCCAGCCCGAGGCGTCGGTAGGGAAGCCAAGGAAGACGCAGCGAAGAGTGCGGGGAGAGAGCTTCCCTGTGGGGGGGTTGCGAACAAGCGAAAGGGCACCCCAGACCCGGAACGGCGACGCATCACCAACCTCGCCCGTCCACTGCAGAGTGGGAGAGGTCTCCGGGTGGGAGACACGGGGCCAGAGGTTGAGTTGCTCAGCAGCGTATCGGACCGCAAACGTCCACAGATAATGGGAGCAGCCGCATGGACGATGGAGGTGCGAGCAACCTCCATCACCAAGCCAATGCGGCGCTCTGCAATCCCATTCTGCTGTGGAGAGGCCGGAAGCGTGAACGTCTGGCGGATGCCCTCAGCGCCACATAACTCCTCGAGGAGACCGAAGGAAAACTCACCACCTCGGTCAGAGTGCAGTCGCAGGACCGGGAGGTCCTGCTGAAACCGAGCACAGAGCTGGCAACGGACAGCACGGATCCAGCGGATCAGAACACTGCGGACCTCCGCCTTGCTCTGCAAGGGGAAGACCGTGGTGTTGCGCATGTAGTCGTCTATCACCAGCAAGAAGTAGCGCTCTCCGCCCTGTCCAGGGAGTCGAGCTGTACCCCACACGTCCATGTGGAGGGTCTGCAGAGGAGCTGTGGTCGGAGGAAACGAGGAGGAGTGAGGAGCGGCGCGGTGCCGCCCCTCGACGCAGGGAAGACACGGTGCAAGCGACCTCGGGAGCGGGGGCAGGGACCTGGGAAGCCCAGAGACAAGGAGACGGGAGTGCATGCCACGAAGGCGTGGCAAGGAGGGGTGGCCAAGACGGTGGTGCCAGAGGAGAGTCTGGTGCGTGAGGAGACGACACGAGCACGATGCAGCGACCTCAACCGATGCAGCTACCTGACCTGACTCAGCTACCAGTGCAGACTCAGTGTTCAGTGTGTACAGGCCAGACCCAGGCCTTCGAGTGAACATGGCGAGGTGCTCACCAGTGCATGAGTGCGTACAGA